GAAAAAAAAAAAAAAAAAAGAAAGGTCAGGGAAAGGTTTCCTAAGGAAGGCATGACTAAACTGGGTGAATAAAGAAATACCAGTAACAATTCCATAGAGTTTGGTGGAATAGAGAAGATATGGGAATAAGCATTTCCTAGGTAGAGAAATATCAAGTATAAAGACCTACTGGCCGGATTTGGTTAATGTAGGAGAAACACAGGGAGCAAAAGGGAAAGTGGGACATGAAAGTGAGGAGTACGCAGGGCCTTAAAAGTCATCTCATTTTGTTTATCCCCAAAGCAGTATAAAGTCCTTTACCATATTGTGAAGGTGGAGGAGGAGTGTAGGGTGATTTAATCAGACTTGCATTTGGGAAACAATACTAGCACTCTAGAGACTGAGACAGGAGGATGGAGACTTTGAGACCAGCCTGGGCTATACAATGAGACCCTGCCTCAAAAACAAACAAGGGCCGGGGATTTAGCTCAGTGGCACCATGCCTGCCTCAAAAGTGCAAGGTCCTGAATTTGATCCCTGGTACCAAACCAAACCAAACAAACAAACAAACAAATTTAAAAAATAATATTGAAGGTGGTGGTGGGGTTAGTTACAATCACCAAAGACTGGTGAAAGTGTTAATGAAAATAAATGAATAAAAACTGAGCGTGGTGGTGAATGCCTGTAATCCCAGCACTCGGGAGGCTGAGGCGGCAGGAGGATCGCCTGGGCTATACAGTGAGTTCCAGGTCAGTCTCAGCTACATAGTGAGATCCTTTCAAAAAAAAAAAAAAAAAAAAAAAAAAAAAAAAAGAAAAGAAAAGAAATGAATAGATGTGAGGGGTTTACATGGCAAAATAAACAAAACTCGGTGACAGCTTGAATTAAGCAGAGGTAGGAAAGAGAGGTTGCTATCAAGCATGTTGTCCAATTATAGAAGGTGAAAAACCCTTTCTTCGGTTTTACATACTTTGGCTACCGCCTCACTTTTTAGCTTCTGCACACATACACACACACACACACACACACACACACACTCTCACTCAATTTTTTCGCTCCTAATGTTCTTTTTGAAGGTGAGATTCTGAACCCATCATTCTATCAAAAACTTCAAGGCTACTGATGATTTCCGCATTGTTAAATCCCAAAATCATATTTCTCTGTCCTCAAAGTACCCTTAAAACGTAACTGGCTGAAACCTTTTTCTCTTATAATGCTTTTTTATTTTGGCTTCCTTGACACCCTATTTTCCTGTTTTTCTTTCTTCTCAGGTGTTGTCTTCTGCTAGATTTCTGTTGGTAGTGTGAAGGGTGTAATTATAGGTCTCCTCTTTCAATAATCACTCTGATTAGTGTCATCCAGTCCTACGACTTTAGATAACTTTCTATATCAAATCTTCAATTCTGGTTTCTGTCCTGAAGTTTATACATGCATACCCAACTGCTTATGTGATATTTCCACTTTGATGCATAATCAACTTTCAAACTTACACCCAAAACACAACTCCTACTTTATCACCACTCCAAAACTCAATCACTTTTATGATCATTTCATTTCAGAAAATGGCACAACTACTCCACTACTCATGATAAAGACCTACGTATCAGTATTAATTCCACCATTTATTTAGTTTCCTTACTTCTTTCAATCTATCAACAAGTCTCAGTTCTACCTGAAAAATATATCCCTGATCCAATTCCTTCTTTTAATTTCCTGTTCTGTTCATATTAGTCCAAGACACCATAACCTTTCACATGGAATAAATCTCCTGACTTGTCTCTCTGCTTTCATTCTTGCCCCATTAAAATTTGGGCTTCATTGAGAAATAAGAAATATTTTTTAAAAACATGAATCGGAATTCTCATACAATGCATTCACTTTGGAAAGCCTCAGGAATTTCTTATAAGGTTAATGATGTGATCTAACAATTTTACTCTTAAATATTTACCTTAGAAAAATGAGCACATATTCAAAAGTTTTATACAAGAATATTCATAGCCATTCTCCTAAGAGCTAAAAATTAGAAATGACTGCAGTGTTCATTAACAGAATAATTGATAAACCAGGATATATTCATTTATACAGCGGATTACCACTCTCCAGTACAAATAATGAGCTGTGGGGTTTTTGTTTTTGTTTTGCTATTTTGTTTTGTTTTGTTTTGGTTCCGGGGATCAAACTCAGGACCTTGCACTTGCGAGGCAGGCAGTGGGCATTGGCACCACTGAGCTAAATCCCCGGCCCAATGAGCTTAGGTTAAATACAACATAGATGTATCTCAAAAATATTATGTTGAGTAAAAAAGGCAGCCCTGGGCCAGGGATTTAGCTCAGTGTTTCCAGCACCTGCCTAGCAAAAGTAAGGACTGGAGTTTGATCCCAGGTACAAAACACAAGAACAACAAAAGAATAATGGGGACTTTCCAGGATGATGAAATAGTTCTATATTTTGACTCAGGCAGTTACCTAATTACATTTTTTTTTTTTTTTTTTTTTTTTGGAGACAGGGTCTCACTATGTAGTTGAGACTGATCTGGAATTCACTGTGTAACCCAGGCTGGTCTCGAACTCACAGTGATCCTCCTGCGTCAGCCTCCCGAGTGCATGCGCCACCACGCCCGGCCCTAATTACATATTTTCTGAAATCCATTACTTTAAGTTTGAAATCTATGTACTTTATTATATGCTATTTATACCTCAGTTTTAAAGGTGTATGATTAATATGTAAATCGCAATATAGTCCTTAAAAGCTATATTACTTCTACCTCATCAGGCTAAGTTTAAATGAGATAATATATGAAACACTCAGAACAGTACCTAGTAGGTAGTGAATACTCAATATCAGCTATTATGCCATACTTTAAAGAAACCTTCCAATAGTACAAACAATAAAATCCAAACTGTAGCTAGCCTACAAGTTCCCATATAATATGGCCCTTACCTGCCTCTTCAGTTTCATGATTACTTTCCATTCTCACTGCAAATGGTTCGTGCTGCTTTTCTGTTAAGTGAACAATGCCAAGATCTTTCACATGCTGGGGTCTTTATGCGTGCTACAGTTTTTAGTTTAGAAAGTTCTTGCATAGGTGTTCATATAGGTAGCTCCTTCTTTTAACTCAGGTCTCTGATAGAATATGAACTCCATATATAGGCATTCCTTGACCACTCTTACCTACTTATTTAGTTATCTGTCTATACTCTGTGAAACAGGAACTTCAGCTCTGTTCACAGTTACATCTTCCATTTGTAAAACAATAGCAGATGTGAAGTATGTGTTTGCTGGAGAATGAATAAGTGAGTAATCTACTGATGTCTCAATTTGTACTCCTGGAAGGGTAGTCTGTGCTTACTCATTTGATAAGATGGGAAACACTAAGGAAGATCATATCAAAATTTACATTGTTAAACATCAGACAATGGAAATACTAAATTAAATAATTAGGATTAAATAATTAGGAACAGCACGTTTTAGAGTTGAATGGCACGAAGTTGTCAAGTGATTTTTTTTTTCCCTTCTGTTTCTGGCAAGAGACTCCTTTTGGACAATACCCAAGCATTCTGTCAGTTCTCTTTTTAAATACCTTCTGAAGTGTCTTCCCCTCTAGTAATGTTTGTAATCTCTAAAATGGAAGTTGAATTTTAAAAATTTACTGTTTTATATTACCATCAGAATTAGGTCTTCTAGAAAAAAAGGACTTGATATTCCTCAAACTTTTAATGCACAAAAAAATGCTGTTATATTACTCCTTTTTTCAGTTTATTTAAAACATGTAAAAATTTCCCTCTTCAACCAAAGGGTCTACAACCAATTCTCAGATTACAGAATCAATACTATTTAGTTATTTCACTTTAATATTATTTGAAAAAGCCCTTCATTGTATTTTTAAGAGAAAAAAGTTTTAATAAATCTTACCTTCGTTTACAAATCAGGAACCACAAAGCTGATGCCAAGGCACAGAGACCAATTCCCAAACTAACAGCACCAGCAGCCAGAAAATAGGTGGAGCAGTTGAAAAGTCCTACAAAAAATTATGAAAGATTACTTCATGGATGTATCTACATTTGCTAGATAACTTAAATTCTATTATATTTTAAATGATATAACAGTGTAGTGTTAAGACTCACCAGGAGATTAGGAAACTTGGATTCTAGGCCCTTGTGATTCTAATAAACTTAAACACTATTTTTAAGGGTATCTTGCACATTAACTCCCAGGGCATATTTCTTTGACTCTGCCATGATTTGAAACCTAGGTTTTGTTATTGTACATATGCCAAGTCCTCCTTTTCATATTAGGTTTTTCCTTTTCCCAGTCCAGCTGTGACTATTACTTCTCTAGTATCATGCCTGGAAGTCCTCTGACACATGACACTTTTCATTTTAAGATTGTATTATCAATCACTACAGGGAGGCAAATGAAACCAATAAGATAACAAATATGAGGAATTTTTTTAATATGAGGAATTTTTAAGATCTTAGAAATCTTTAAAAATTTTATCCTAGAAATTGTAAAATATTATGATTATGATTACAAACTAAATAAAACAAAAATAAAATAATCGCATAGTACATGTTTATAATTGGGAAAGCCTATAGCAATTACATGATATGACCCTTTCATTTTATTTTACTTTATTTATTTATTTTAGGTACCAGGATTCAAACTTGGGCCCTTGCACTTGTGAGGCAGGTGGCAGAACCACTGAGCCAAATCCCCGGCCCCCAAAATAATTATGAATAATGAAAGCAAGAGATGCTTATAGTCAGGTTGGTCAAGTCCTCATTAAGATTCTGAAATCTGTTATCATAGCATAAAGGAAGTGTAGGATGCTTTCACAGAAGGTTACATAGAACTGTAAGGGCCTTAAGACAACCAAGGAGCATATTATTTGGAAAAAAGTATGTTAAAAAGTGTAAAATTACTTGAAGACCTTTTTATATTGCCAAGTTTCACTATGGACATAATAAAAGATTTTGTTGTTTTCATACTTTTGTTTCTTAAGTGATTTCCACTTTCAAGATAGTACCTCTCAATCCTTAGTTTTGAGATTAGAAATGTCTACATTCATGAATTAATGATATGAAAAATGTATATAAGGTTAGTATTAAAATGTTACGTTTGATATAGAAACTCTCTTTGGTTTTTTTTCTCCTGTTTTTACATTTAATATGAAAACTAAATGGCCCAAAATAAATCAATTATGTATATTATGATAACATTACATATAAACATTTTTGTATTCTTGATTTTTTTACTGTAGTTTGTCAGTGTCAACACTATGGGTCTTTTGAACCAGATAGCTATATGTTGTGGAGGACTGTCCCATGCACAGTACCAAAAATGTCATAGATACCAAAATTGTGCCTGGTTGCGAACCACTGATGTAGCTAAAAGAGAAATACTAGATAATATTGAATGACAAAAGTGTAACAGATAAAACCTATATTAAGAAAATATAGTTGAATTCAAACTGGATAAAGATCTCTACAGGGGCTGGGGATTTAGCTCAGTGGTTCGGTGGTCTGCCTTGCAAGCGCAAGGACCTGAGTTCAATCCCCAATACCAAAAAAAAAAAAAAAGATCTCTATAGAAAAGAAGCAGAGCAACACAGAGAAGTAAGTAGGGGCTAAAACCAGGGGCATTCTGGGTGCTGAGATCTGCAAGCAGCAATTAAGTGCAAGAAACAGTTTACTGAGACAAAGCTAGTCCACAACATTCTCTGGCACACTAATGAAGACCAGCTCAAATTTTCCATCCCCACATTTTTGTCTTTTCTAGAATTTCATATAGCATTTTGAGTCTGTTTTTCATTCTGTGTAATACATACTAATTTTATCTGCTGAATGTATCAATAATTTATTTTATTAATAAGTAATATTCTATGTTATAGTTGTACTGTGGTTTGTTTTTTCCCCAAATAAGAGACATTTGAATTGTTTTCAGTTTGGCTTTTTAGGAGTAAAGAAGTTACTCTATAGTTGTACACAGATCTTTGAAAAATCAGAAAATCAATTTGAACTTTTTTTTTTTTTTTTGGTGGTGGTGGTTCTTTGTTTTTTCATATAGGGTCTCACTATGTAGCTCTAATTGGCCTTGAACTGAGGATCTTCTTGCTTCAGCCTCCCAAGTTCTAGGATTAACAGGCATGCTCCACTATGCTGAGCTGAACATGTTTTTACTTCACTGAATTCATGTATATTCAAATTTATATTCAAAGAAAAAAACTGTCAAACTGCTTTCTAGGTTGCAGAACTTTTTCTTTTCTGAGATGTTCAGCTTGTCAGTTTTGTTCTTTCATGAATTCTGCTTATGGATTCTATCGAGAACTCTTTATTTAACCAGGTCACAAAGATTTTCACTGGTATTTTCCTATAAAAACTTTACATTTTACATTTAATTTATTACTTGTTTTGAACTAATTTTAGCAAAAGGTGTGGGGTATGGGTCAAATTCCTTTTCTTTTTTCCCCCTCTTGGCATGGAAAGCTACAATGACACTGGCTCCTATGACCACCTTTCTTTTGTATTGTTCAAATCTTTTTTTAAAAATTGAGTTTATCGGTACCTTTTAGATATACAGTACAGTTACATTCATCATTGGGATCTTGTACCTTTACATGACAGGTCTTAAGTTCTCATTTTTTCCCCTTGTCCCTGCCCTCCTTTTACCCCCTCCTCCCCTCCCTATTTATGTATTGTTCAAATCTTGAGGAAACCCACCAGAACTAGAGGGGGTACTAAGATCCCATGTCTGAGGCTGATGGCAGGTCTAGGCCAACCTATTGTAAACTTGCTGGAGTTCTTACCAGAAGTCCTCACAGAAGTCTTTGGAAACTGTTATGCTCATGTGTCTGGGATCTTGTGGTTAACAGGTCAAATTTAGTTTCCCAGCCAGCTTTTGTCACACCCTAATCTCCAATCTCATTTACCCCTGAGAGACACAAATTTTATCAGTCTCTTTTTAGAGTTCTATTCCTGTGATCTACCCTGTTACCAATAACAATAATAATAAAATATTTTAAAATCTCAGGAAATGTTCAAAGTGCCTTATATAAGATTTGTTTAGTTCTCACAACATATGAATTAAATATTATTATTTCCTCACTTTACAGATGAGAAACAGATGGGGCAAATTGTGGAATTGTGGCTAAGTATCTTGTTTTTTAATTTTTTTTTTTTTGAGACAGGGTCTCACTATGTAGTTTAGACTGCCCTGGAACTTACTGTGTAGACCAGACTGGTCTCGAACTCACAGCAATCCTCCTGCCTCAGCCTCCCAAGTGCTGGGATTACAGGTGTGCGCCATCACGCCTGGCACTAAGTATCTTGTTTTTAAAGGCAGACAACCAGTAAATCAAGAAACGGTAGTAATCTGAATACCATTAAGGTCCTTTCAGATCCAGACTGAGTAAAGTATAGTAACACAGAATATCTTCAATTTTTGTTAGGTAAATAGTTAAAGGATGTGAAAAAAACTTAAGGGCATAATAAAAGAGAATATCTATGGGCAATAAACATATGAAAACTTTAGTAATGATCAAGGAAGTACAAATTAAACTATGATGAGATACCACAACCACTACATAAAATGCTTAAAATGAAAAAGAAAATGTCAAGTGTTGACAAGAACAGAGTAATTGAATCTTTCATTCAGTACTGGTAGAATTTACTTTGGAAAACCGTTTGGCATTACTGTTAAAACTGAACACAGCACCTGCCTTGCAAGCACCAGGTCCCGAGTTTGATCCCCAGTATCAAAAAAATATTTAAAAAAAAGAACAAGCATGTGTTGACAAAAATAGGTACTAAGATATTTGTAGTAGCGCTACTTGAGATAGTTCACTAATTAGAAACTGCCCAGATGCCTATCATTAATGGAATAAATAAGTTTAAAAGTTGAATGGGTTAAAGAAAAACAAAATATCTCACAGCACTGGGAAAGAGTGAACTATAACCATGCACAACAAAATCAATTAATTTCATAGATGTGATGCTGGGAGGAAAAAGGCATACATGAGGTTCAAAATCAGACATGAAAGAAAGTTTTGGGGTGCTGGTTATGTTCCATTTCTTGATTTGAGTCCTGCTTATATAAGTATGTTCAGGGAAGCTTCAAGTTTACTATTTTATGACATGAATAGATTACATCTGCTGTGTCTACATGAATAGAACTAAAGAACATAACGTTCAGTGAAAATAGGCAAGTTCCATACATTTATTTTCAATAACTCCAATGAGCCCTGATTTCATTTATGCACATCAAAAAAAGGAAAAAGAAAAAAGAAAGAAAGGAAAAAAAAAAAGAAATAGTACTTTTGAATAATTGGAAGTAACAAAAGGTATAATTTATGTTATTAGTGGCCTTTTGGGAGGTTTGAGAGGAATGGAACTATGGATGGAATAAACATGTAAGACATTGTAATGCTTCATTTGTTTTTAAAAAAATTAAAGATCTGTCTGGGCACGGTGCCTCATGTCTGTGACCCCAGTTACTAGGAGAACTAAGGCAAGAGGATTGCAAGTTTGAGGCCATCCCTGAGCAATTTAGTGAGAGCTTCTCTCAAAAAAAGAGGGGGCTGAAGATGTAGTTCAGTACAGAGTGCTTGCCTAGCAGGTGTGAGGCCATGGGATAGACACACAGTACTCCAAAAATGAAAACACCAACAACGAAGATGTGCTGACCAAAAGACTGTTCATTTATAAGAACATTATACATGGATGCTTGTTATTTTGTCCTTTCACTCTTCTGATTTTCTCAAATATTTAAAAAACATAAAAATAGTATCTCAATATTATAAAAAAAATACAGAAAAGAAAAAGATACATTTCTGTAAGGTAAATAACATTGACTTCTCCTGGTAGTAAAATTTTTACTCCAGATTTTCAAATATTCTATCATAAATATCTTAGAAAAATAAGAAAAAAAATGAAACTGCATATGCAATTCTTGATTCCTTTACTTAAATGATATGAGTCTTTTTGTAGCATCTCTATTTTTATCAGTGTGTTTGTAGTCCACTTAGCTTTCAAATCCTGAGGATCACTGCCATCCTCTCTACTCTGTTCTTAAAAACTCCCCATTAGGGCAGAAAAAAATTCCACTTTACCATGGAATGATAAATTACATATTTGTTAATACCTTCAAGTTCCTGATTTAGATGGATGATTTATATATCAGGGGAATTTCAATAAGGAATAATGTTTCCAAGCCACTTTATCAAGGGATGGACAGCTAGCACCTTCAAGTCATACTTTCTCTATACATTTATAAAAAGAGAAGACTTGACAGCAACCACTACTTTCTGCTCCCACTTTGGGGTTTAGTAAATATATATTATACAGAAATATTATATACAAAGGTAGTATTTTAATTTTCTTGAGTGCCCTTAAGTGTTCCTTCTATCTGATGACCCCATTTACAAGTCACTTTATGATATTATGTTGTTTTTCTTTAATAGTCATATCACAATCTTCCTATATTTTATATCCATTGTCTGTCATCCTTTATTATAGGATGAGTCTTTTTCCTTATGATACCATGAGACTATAGAGTACTGACTAGAGTTTTGCCACATTTCAGTCTCAGGTTCATGTTGTTTGTAAATGATTTACTCCAATTCTTGCTGAACACCAATAAGTGAGAAACACTATGTGGCTCACCAAAGGGATGGGAAACAAAACAGCCATTTAAGTAAGAATCAATCCTCACCCTGAGGTTTAAACATCTATGAAGAAATAAAAGCAGGGCCGATACACAACCAGTCATAAAGATGACCACATTCATTAGTAATGGTTTGTATCTTTAGTAAGAAATCAGAAAATGTTCTAAGAAATTAATAATATAATGATGAAAATTAGAAAATACATAGAAAAAAATAATGAAAGTATTAGGTGTAAATTCTTGCAGCAACATAGCTAAGATAAACTGAAAGAGAATGTTAGGCCTAAATGCATATATTAGTAGAGAAGGTGGAAAAGCAATGAAAACTGCAATCCAAATTACAAATTGAAAAAAGACCAGCAAAATAAACTCACAGTACATAGAGAAATGAAACAATAAAAGAGCAGAAATGAATGAAATAAAATTAACATTGTGCTAAGACTAACAAAATTGACCAATCTCTAGTAAGATTAACCAAGCGAAAAAAACTGATGGCATAAGTGAACAATATTCAAAACAAAGAAAAAAGATAATTATAGACATAGCAGAGTTAAAAGAAGAAAATCCTTCCAATAAATTTATGCTAATGTTTAAAGCAACTTGCAAAAAAGTGACTCAAGAAGCAATAGACTTACTAACTTGCCCAGACTGGGTTAAAATTTGAGAGCCTCCTGACTCAATTTCCCAGAGTACTAGGATTACAGGTGTGTGTTGCCATGTCCAGCTAAAAACCTATTTCTTCATTAAACTGGGATTTAAAAAAATTTGGGGTGATTATGAAAGTAGTTCATATTTACTGTAAGAACCAAAATCAAGCACTAAAGAAGCTAAGTAGAAAATGTTGCATCCAAAATTGTTATGCCCTACAGAATATTAGTTTATCACTCTGTTTTCTAAAATGTTTGTTTGTTGGGTTTTTTGAAACAGGGTCTTGCTGTACAGTTCAGGGTGGTCTTGAACTCATTGTGTAACCCAGGCTGTCCTCGAACTCACAGTGATTCTCCTGCATAAGCCTCCCAAGTACTGCAATTACAGGCATGCTCCTCCACACCTGGTTTAAAATTGTAACTATAAAGAAGCATGGGTATTCACTTAGTTCGAATCATATGATAATCATATAGCCCACCGAATTCTTCAAATTTGGCCACAACAATATGCCTAACTACTCCTCCATGAGTTTGTCCTTGCTGTTCTCCTAAAGAGATGTTATTTCTCCAACTGCCTGAGGCTAAGTAGGCTTTTGGACCACTTCAATCAGTAGAGTATGGCTGACATAATGCTGTACTAGTTCTGTGCATAGCTCTTAACTGGCCTTCCTCCTTCTTGGATGCCAGCCACTGTGTTAAAAGTAGGATACCCTCAAGAATGCTGGGAGGAAGCCCAAAATGACCTGAATAAAGAGTGTCTTGGCCGGGCGTGGTGGTGCACGCCTGTAATCCCAGAACTCGGGAGGCTGAGGCAGGAGGATCATTGTGAGTTCGAGACCAGCCTGAACTACATAGTGAGTTCCAGGTCAGTCTCACTACATAGTGAGACCCTGTCTCAAAAAACAACAACAACAAAAAACCCCACCAAAAACAACAACAAAAAAGAGTGTCCTTGTTGGGAGGCAAAAAAGTCAAGGTGCACAAGGCACTAGACATCTTGGGAGTGGGTCTGTCTGTTCCAGTTCACCCAGCTGATCTATATGGACCAATGATAAACCATTGATAAAAGAGTCCTTGGGAATCTTTTCTACTAAATCAGAAGCAGAATAAATAAATTTCTTCAAATCTCATAAAAAGAGAATAGAAAACCTAAGTGAACATGATGTATCTATTAAACTGAATTAGCTGTTGCAAAATTTCCCTCAAAGAAAACAGCAAGCCCTGAAAACTTTACAATCTCTTTACAAATTCTATCATAGGCCTTCGATTCAACTATTTCTTATCTTATACAATTTCTTCCAGAGAGCAGAAAGAGATTGCTGGCTGTTTGTCCAAATACATTTTCCTTTTCTTCTCAGGCAAAAAGCTGGACTATGTGTCCCAGATTCACATACCATTAGGTGGAGCCATGCGACTGAGTTCGGACCAATGGAATCTGAATGGAAATGATGTCATAAAAACCTCCTGAGCACTCTGCTCTGCCCCTGCTCCCTGACTGGGACTGAGATGATTCGCTGGGAAACCTTGGAAGCCACATATTGCTATTACCCCATCAATCAACTGACTAATAGAAATTATAGAAAACAATTCAACAACAATAATGTATTTTTTTTTCAACTGCACATGGTACATTCTTTAGTTGAAAACCACTAAAATTTCTAAATTTTCTAACATTTAGTAATCCATGGTCAAAAAGAAGTAAAAGAATGAGTAAGATGAAAACACAATGTATGAAAACTCATGGTGGGGAAGGATTTAGCTCAGTGGAGCTGTGCCTGTCTTGCAGATTCAAGGACCTGAGTTCAATCTCCAGTACCGGGGGGGGACCCCAAAACCACCACCACCACCACCACCACAACAATGACAACAAACACCTCATGGGATGCTACTAAAGCTGTACTTATAGGATATAATCCACCAATTTTCATAAGGGGGCAAACCCCTAGCTTTCGAAGATTATAGATCCATTACTGTACATTTCATAATAAGTTTATTACACTATTCTCAATGAACTACTGCCTTAGTCATTTTCTTTTTGTCTCTGCAACAAAACACCTGACACCCACCACTTAAAAGAGGAGAGGTTTATTTTGGCTCCTGGATTTTAGAGGTTTCTGTGCGTAGCTGGCTGGCTCCAGGTAGAAAGGCCATGGTAGAGGCTCTGGTAGAGGAAAGCTGCTCAAGTCACGGTGAGCAGGAAGCAGAGAGAGAAGGGAGGGGCCAGGGAGAGAGAGATTCCTTCAGGTCACCCTTGCAGTGACCTTCCTCTAATCAGGGCCATCTCCTAACAGCACCGACTGTAGTGCCCTTGGAGTCAATAAACTAAAAGCTCCACCTCTGAGTGCAGGAGGCTTTGGAGGTTATTCTCTGTCTAAATCACGGTAACATAGATCTAGATTGTGTAATCTAATAGTTTCTATGGGTAGTCAATGGGGCTTTACAAACAATTCCTCTGGTGACTTCTTCTTTCAAACAAAATCCAATGAACTATATAAATATTTAGTCAGTTCTTTCTCCTGTTCTCCACTGCAGGTATTTTAAACTTTCTTCTTTTTGCTCAAGTTTTCAACCTCACCTACCACTAGCTTTAATTTCAGATTAACTCTTACCTCTGCTACTTTCAGGATAAGTACATCTACTATGTGCCAGTACTGACCTAGAAGCCAGTCACACTGTGGTAAACAAGGCAAGGTTCTTGGATTCATATTTTAGTAGGAAGGGACAAATAATAAGCACATAGGCAAATGTCTTAGTTACTTTTCTTGTTGCTGATACAAAATACTTGACATCCAAAGTTAAAATAGGAAAGGTTTTTTGTAGCTCACAGTTTGTAGAGGTTTCAATTCATAATTGACTGGCTGTAAGGCAGGGTGGCATGGCAGAGGGGCATCTCAGAGGAGAAAACAGTTCATGGCAGGCAGAAGGCAGCAAAGCAGTGAAGTAGCAAAGTAGTGAAGCAGGAAGCAGCAAGCAGCATGCAGCATGAAGCAACCCTCTTTCTGGGCCTTATATTCTACCCACAATACCTTAGGGTGGGTAGCACTCACATCAAAAGTAGAAAATTTTTAATCCTAGCATCAGACCATTAGTCCTAGCATCATATCCTTAATTCTGTCATTACACACCCCAGATACAGCCACCTTCAAAGAGCCTACCTATGACCACATGAGGCTTTGGGGGGACATCTAGATACAAGTCATAACAGCAAAGTACTTTTAGAGATTGATAAAGGTCTCAAAGAAATCAAGCAATAGCCAGGTGGAAGTTGTAAAGAATATCTCAAGAAAATGTGTGTTCTCATAGTATCATCCCTAGAAAGATCTGAATTGCCAGCTTGAATGGAATATATTTGTCAATGAGATAATCACTGATAACATTTTTCAAATAGTGCTAAGAGAGTCTTGTTTAAAGCCATAAAAGTAAATGTTAAATAGTGAGATAGTACTGGGAAACACTAGAAGTCTGTTGTCTTCATCAAAACAGTCTTCAGTTTTATCTCCCAATTATTCCCTCAATTTGCTTAGGTTCTCTTCACGTAACCTTTCTTCCAGAAGGTGAGTCATAGTCCAAAAGATAAACATGCCCCACTGCTAGTATAAGTACTGTGCTAGGTATTAGTTTGTCTGCCTTGAATTAAGATACAATGTCACTGAGGCCATTGTTTACTATTCTTCATGCAGTTGCAGCATCCTCTGGTGGGCAGTAATTTTCTTTATGGCTTTCAAGAAACAGCTTTTATACATTTTGCTGCAGAAATAAAATATACAGTGCTTCAGTATTTTCACTAAATTAACAACTTAATAAAGCATCGTGTTAGTGCTTACTGTCAGATATAAACAAATATCTGAGAAATGCCATTATACAAGTGTAAATCATATTGTTCCTACTAGTAAATGGTAATATGCTATTTGAAAAGCTTTCCATTCATACTTTTAGAAAACAAAGTTTTCACACAATTTAAACTCTCTAATTGTGCATATCTTTTTGACTTGTTACATCATTTATGTTTAAAATCTATTCAAACCGGGTGTGGTGGCACATGCCTGTAATCCCAGGACTTGGGAGGCTGAGGCAGGAGGATCGCTGTGAGTTGGAGGCCAGCCTGGGCTACATAGTGAGTTCCAGGTCAGTCTCAACTACATAGTGAGACCCTGTCTCAAAAAACTTAAAAAAAAAAAAAGTATAGTCATAGCTGCTGTCCAGGCATAGAGAACAAAATTCCAAGCATAAAATGAATGCTTAGAAGAGTCTAGAAGAGAGATATCAGAGCATTACTATTCTGCTTTAAGATTTCTTGAATGACTACTACTTCTTGACAATTTCAACTTTGTAAACCTTTTCTACCCCAAATTTACACTTCTCCTAATACTAGTACTTTGATTACCACTTAGGTTCAATGATCGACTATCTAATAGGGGACAATTTCCAGGGTGAAGTGTCACTGAGTTAACTCGACTCCAACTTCCACAACATTGTGAAATATTATCTCTCTAAGTACTATTATTTTTTCTTCTATTCCTCCCCAGTTCTGATAAAATGCTTTGAAATAAAGCAAGCAATTAAGTTATTTAAACTTTTATTCCATTCTAAAATGACCAAATCTATGATTACAAGTTACTTTAACCCCCTAAAAACTAGCAAAAGACCAAAAGGAACAAAAATAGATTCATCTGTTCCACAACAAATTGAAACTTCCAAGCTTCAGAAAATCAGATAAAATACAACTAGTAAGGCTTAGTACAAGGCTTAGTACAAATACAACCAGTAAGGTATATGTATATGCATACACCAAAAATATTGTATATGATCTTATTCACATGAAACTACATATGTAAAAGCAAAGTATCTCCTTATATTCAGTGCTATAATACATTTCTTTCCCCTAGAACACAGGATTGAATCCAAGGCCTCATACATGTTAGACAAGTGCCCTACCACTGAGTTACTTCCTCAGCATTTTTAAATTTTATTATTTGAGACATGGTCCTTCCAAGTTGTCCATGGGCTCAAACCTGTAGTACTCCTGGCCCAGCCTCCCAAGTAGCTGGAATTATAAATCAAGCTTGCCTCACCACATCCAGTTTATAATGCGGTACACACACACACACACACACACACACACACACACACAGTGAGTTCAAGGTTAGCCTGAACTACATAGTGAGATCCTGTAGTGCTGTCTTTTTGAGACAGGGTCTCACTATGTAGTTCAGACTAACCTTGAACTCACTATGTAGCCCAGGCTTGCCTTGAATTTGTGGCAATCCTCTTGCCATAGTCTCCCAAGTGCTGGGATTATAGGCGTGCACCACCACACCCAGATAAATCAGTGCTATTTCAACTTTGTGTTGAATCTGAGACTAGAGGCCAGTCAGTTTCCTTTCTGGGGGCTAATGAAGTCCATCCCCTTCGTGGGATCTCACAATATTGGCCATTATACAACCACTTTATTCTCCCCTATAGATCAGGTACCAAACAACCAGGGTGTCTTAGACTGTTCTGTGATGCTAGAACAAATTATCTGAGAATGCACACTTTATAAGGAAAAGATTTATTTTGCCATCCTGGGATTTTTTTTTTTTTTTGTATCAGGGATCAAACTTGGGACCTTGTGCTTGTGAGGCAAGCGGTGGAACCACTGAGCTAAATCCTGGGCAGAGCAGTCGTGAGAAATATGCTACTTTATTTATTTATTTAGGTACCAGGGATTGAACTCAGTTCCTTGCGAGGCAGGCGCTGGAAGCACTGAGCTAAATCCCCGGCTCTTTTGTTTTATGGTTTTAGAGGCTGAAGTGTCTAAGCTCAGACACCTACACGTGGTAAGGTCCTTGCAGTATGTCATAACTTGGTGGATGGCATCACATGGTGGGAGTTCCTGTGTTAGCTGCAAGCAGCACATGTGCAAGCAGAAGCTGAACCTGTGGAGTAGACTTGTTCTGTAACATGCCCTCGGGGTAACCAGTCCAATCATGGGAGACAGAACCCACTCCTGTGAGGCGAGTATTAATTGCTTTTGAGGGTGCTATCCCCATGACACAATTACTTTTCACTAGGCTTCATATCTTAAAAGTTCTATTACTTCTGAATACCATTACAGTGGGGGAAATATCTTGTAGATCTGACCCTTGGGAGATAAACCATATTCAAACCATGACACAGGGGTATCCCCTACATCCCAACAGACTGCTGAAGGTATTTAAACTAGCCAGTCCCAAATATGCTTACCCTGTTCCACCCATTCATTCCCTTGGAAATCACAATAAAATTACTTGTCCACAGCCCCCCACTCCGTCCACCTCGTGACTTACCTGGTAATTTCCCTAAATGGATATCTATGTCATGCTGCTCCTCCCCAGAGAGCTCTAACTAACAAACTGTAAGACCTTTTTCGGTTTCTTGCTCTTAGACTATGTCTGGCCTCACTATACTGTACCT